ATGTTCCAAACATGATTGATTTTATGAAAGAAGAAAATTATGCGTAAGAAATTTCAGAACTAAGCCAAGTAAAGGACATCAACAATAGGTACCCCCCCCCAAAAAAAAGCAGCACTACACTTACCACTTCCAACTTCTGCTTCTCTACCAGCAAAACAAGTAAACATTTTTCTGCAATTATGAGGTTTCTTCATTGTCTACACAGCTCCTCAGAATCTGAAGCAACTATTAATCCACCTATTTGTTCTTTCATACAGCGTTTGTCAAAGGGCCCCCTCTGCCTCCAGCGCGGCTTTGGAGACTATTGTGGGAGCACGCGAAAGTGAACTAAACAGAGGTTTTTTGTCATCAAAGAATTTTAAGCTAATTTATAATTATCGGGGTTCCTGGCTCCACTACTATTCTTTGGTGCTGGCTCAGATTCCATCTTTATCTAGTCCAAGGCTGAGGCAGCTCTTATAAATTTCCTTCTCCTTGTCTCTTTTCCCCCCTTTACTTTCTTGGTGTTTAAAGTCTTGTTACATATCTGATCCTTTATTTTATTCTTAATTCTTCTCAAATCATTAAAGTCAAAAATGGATCTTAGATCAAAGACATTCTTAAGGTCTCTCTACTCAATTTATTTGGTGTTACTGTATCTCGGAGAGTGCAATGAATTGCCTGTAGCAAGTGAATAAAATCAGAACCTTTGTACTCGATGCTTCGATACATATTATTAAAAATAATAAATGTCAAAAAAATATTGAAAGCCAGCCTTTATTCCTGGCAGGCTGTTCTACATTTGGCTACTATATTAAAATGCTGAAATGACTTGCTGTACCCATTGAGCCGTGGATCTGCCAGTTTTAATATCTCATGGACAATCCCAAATGCATAATAAATCTCTGCCCCCTGCGCCCCCTGCCCCCGCCAAATCTGAAGAGGGTGGCGAGCCAATCCTAGTAGCTGGGGAGACTTACAAGTAACTGTAGCCTGAAAAGAAATGGCTCATATGGCACATTAAGCCATTTGGCGTGGTAAAGCTGGTGATTTTGTTCTCTAGGTGGCACTGTTACTTCAACTTTTGACGCGTTGCTTCGATTTCTTGAAAATGCCGCTTTATCTCTTTTTTTAATTTCCGTAGTATAAATCTTAATTTTATATACACTAGTTGAAATCAAATGACAGACTGTCTTCCAGTTTCATTTTAATAAGCCGGTTTGAAGTTGAATGGTCTTTTTTTTTTTTAATCACGATTTTACATGTCCTTGGTTATATTGTCTTAGAATTAAGGACTCTCCCTTTGCCTGCCCTCTTCCCTCTAAATATGCAGAGGCACGTCAAAAACACAGAAGGTGGTCATAAAGCTTCAGTCAGACCAAAGGAATCAAGATGAAAGCACATTTAAGAGCTACTAGGTTCTGTGAGCTTTCAAAATCAGGACATTACTACCATGACAACCAATGAAAAGTTCTTTCAAGTGAACCTTTGGGGGAAACTGCATAGCATTTGTTACTCTCTGGGCTCTCTGGAAATGAACTTTTGCTAGATTATGGCTGTCCCTGAAGCTTGTAAACTGACTCTGCTTCCCCACCCCCCCCACCCCCCCCACCCCGGCCCCCAGTCAAGTCACTCTCCTGGGTCCCGCACCCGGCCCCCCCAATTCATTTAATGGAACCCATCCTCAAACTTCAGACAATGTACCAACGAGACATCAACCACTTCTTAGCGTCTAGCAAATCTGGTCAGATTTGGTGAACCAAGAGCCTAAGCGCCCCAGGGTTTGAACTTGAACAGGAGTACTTGCATCTAAAGGAAAGCTTCCATACTTCTTACCGCATGTTTTCCCACCGAGCCAAGAATACCTTCCTGTCGCGCTTGGGGAACACACCGTTTTCCCACTCCCTTACCCCCCACCCCCCAAGGTTTTCAGAAATCAATATATTGGTGAGCTTCATTGTTTCACGTCTGTCATCAAGAATGACTCCATATATTTAATAATTGGGTCTATGCCTCTCCTAAGGCTTTTGTAAAAGTGTTCTAGAAAGCCAGAGATGCGTTTAAGTATAAAATTATTTAGGACTGAACAATTCTATGCCTTCAGTGCCTTGAAGAGAGCTTTGAGGATCCATATGCCTAGGCTTAAAAATACCAAAATTTTCCTCTGTTTCCTAGGGTTAAGCCCCACGTACAAATGACATACGGATTTCATTTGCCAACATCATTTCTTGCTGAACGTTACTCCATACTAAACGGAGTAAATGGATGCAGAAGGGTAACCAGTAAGCCTGCTCACTCACTTTTGAAGCCCATCTGGGTATGTTATTCATCCTAGTAAAGACGATTTATCACAACGCAACTTAATGTGATTCTTGTTCAAATGCCTTCTTCCTCCACTGAGCAGCCAGCAGTAAAACCTAGAATTCCCCCTGAATTCTCTTCTCCATTCCTCTTTAAAATGCAATTCACAGCTTGAGATTACAGAGCCTGCCAGCGGCTGAATGGCTGCTCTCGATGGCTGAGAGTCCTTCAATTAAGCAGCAATTTTGCAATTAGTGGAAACTGAGTGCTCCATAACAATCGTTTGAAAACAAGTTGAGAAAAGTTAGCAATTACCCTACTAAAGGGACATATTCACTTGCATTCGGCTGAGCTGGCCCCCTCACACAAATTGCAATCTTCCATACTGGGAGATGGCAGTTGAAAAGGATGTTTCAACCATTAAAATGAATTTGGTATTATAGGCATCGAAATGGGAGTGCCTTTCATTCTAAAAGATACTCAGAGTTTAGCTATCATACAATTTCCATGCTCTCTGCTTTCATTCACAAAGTCGAAAATTGTTCTCTCTACTCTGGGACTAACTTCCTAGATCTTAAAATGCTAATGAACTGCGTGCATATGACCTTTCCACTGTGTACATCTCCAATATTCCTGAGTAAGCCGGTGACTGAGACCCAAAGCTGCTGGCTGTGACTCTACCTGGATATAGAGCATGAAGCTCTGGGTGCCGTGTGAAGGGAGGGCTGGGGGCAGGGGGATAGTCACAGAACATTTTAAAGACAAACGTAAAAAAAAAAAAAAATGTTAACAGAGCTCTCTGCTATATCGGGTGGGCGTGCCCAGCTTGCTGTGTGTGCTGAGCTACAAGCCAGAGCTATTTATGTTTGAAAGAAATGGGATTATCAATCATCTGCATTTTTGACTACTGAAAAGTAAGATTCCAGGAAGAAGGGAATAGCTTACATTCTAATGGTGCCCCTATTAACAGGAAACCAAAAGACTTGAAGCCAGGATTTTAGAAATTTGCATTTACAGGATTTCCCCCCCTCCTGGTAAATCACAATGAACCAGCAATATCCCAGCACCTCCCCACCCCACCACCCTGGCCATTAGGAGCTTCAGACAATTCATTCACTTAGTATAAATGAATCATTTGCTTTTTAGGCAAAGGATCATTTTCTTGGTTCCTCTCATTCGAAAGTAAAAGTTACACTTACTGAAAAGACATCCTAAAAGAGATTTCCTTAATGCTTTATTCCGTGGATGCTTAAAATGTTGACCTACTTTATACCTTAAATAACCTTACATATCACCTTAAAATAAACATGATTTCCAGTTACTAATTCAGTTCTGAATGGGCTATGAATGGCTCCAAAGGCATGTGGAAAATCACGCTGTTATTTTGCTTTTTAAAAAAAAATGTGATGTCTAAGTGTGGATGCAATGTTCTAGTGCTTCAAAACATGTACGTAAGTCTTGTTTATCTGGAAATAATTTCTTTCTGCTTATATCATTTATAAATAGAAAACGTTCTGTAATAACTTAAAATAGCACTACCTACATAACAATTCTCCTATCAGAATACTCATTACCAGTCTGTATTTACCAACATTTTTTTTTTAAATCACATTTTGCAAAATAACGTCAAAGAAAAAAATGACAACGACCTTATGGCCCTGGAATTCCAGTCATGGTGACCAACATGTTTTAAATTCCAGGAAAAGTCACGGTCACGTTTCAACAAGTGTCTCTTTCCTTTCTCTCACCTCTGCTGCTAACCCAGAGGTGAACTTCACGAGAAAAAAAAATCATAAGGTGTTTGTAGAAACAGGGGACAGGAGTTAACGAGTGTCTTAAAGGGGTGCAGGTCCCTGGGCCAAAACTTTGCACTCTCTGGGTGCAAGGTGTGATGAGATCTACTACGGGTAACAACATGGAGCACTGCAAGCCCTTATCTCAGAAACTTCAACTTGAAAGTGATAGTGTTTTGCAGGAGGTAACCATGGAGGGTTCCCATGGTCAGATGAAGTCTGTAAGCATACCCCAGTAAGTAAAACTGTAAAAAAAAAAAAAAAAAAAAGGTATAGAACCAAAATGGCTTTTAACCTTATAATAAACACATAGACTCATAAATCTCTGGGTAAAAATAGAGAAGGAGCATCTTCCAGGAAGCAGAGCCGGTGTGAAGATCTTACTTCATAGCCTACCACATTTTTATGCAGTTCAGAAACAACAATATTCCCAATTAGACACCGGTTTGCTTTAAAACATAATTGCACTGGGGGCATTAATAAACATCCAGAAATAGGATTTTCTTTGCTTCTGGCCAGAACATTCCTGCATTCTTGTCCAAAAAATGCCCCCTGGCATCGGGGAGTAAGGGTCAGGGGCCTGGAGGACGGCGAAACGAGCCCTGGGGGCCCTAACCCGCCCCCCACCCTCGGCCCTCGTGACCCCCCGCGCGGGGCGCCCGACAGGGGCCACGAGCCACGCGCGTCCGGGTCGGGAGCCAGCAGCATCCTCAACAGGTGTCCCCCGGCGCCCGCAGGGGTCGCGAAGAGCCAGCCCGCGCCCCCCCCCCCCCGGGCCCAGCGGCTGCTCGGGGAGCTCGGCCGGCAGAGGGCGCCCTCGGCCTTCCCTAGCCCCGAGCGCCGGCCCCCCCCCCCTCCGCCCCGCGCCCCGCGCCCCGCGCCCCGCCGGCATCCTCCGGCATCCTCGGTCCCCGGCCCGCCCCCCAGGCCTCCGTCCCCGGCGCTGCCCCCGGCCCGGCCCCCCCTGCGCTCCGCGGGCATCCTCGGTCCCCGGCCCGCCCCCCAGGCCTCCGTCCCCGCCCGTGTCCCCCGCGCCCCGCGCCCCGCGCCCCGCGCGCATCCTCCTCCTCGGCCCCGGCGCCCCGCGCGCATCCTCCGGCCGCCGCGCCCCCCAGGCCTGCGTCCCCGCCCGCCCGCCGCCCCCAGCCCTCGCCTCGGCCGCCCGGGCACAGCCCACCCGTCCGCTCCTCCCGCCTGGACGTCCCCGAAGCCCCCGCCCCCCCCCCCGTCGGGACGCCCCGTCCGGTTCCCAGGCCTGCGCGCCCCGCAAGGTGCTCCGGGAGGTGCGGGCGGGGCAGCGCGGGCACAGCCGCGGGGCGAGCTCAAGTTTTCCGACGGGCACGGACCGGCGCGGGGCAGCCCGGGGGGCGCAGGGGGCGGCCGGGCTGGAGCCTCGGGGCAAGGGGCGGCGGGGACCCCGAGATCCGCGCGGGGCAGCCCGGGGGGCGCAGGGGGCGGCCGGGCTGGAGCCTCGGGGCAAGGGGGGGCGGGGACCCCCAGATCCGCGCGGGGCAGCCCGTGGGGCGCAGGTGGTGGCGCGGCTGCAGCTCCGGGGCGCGGGGGGCGCGGGGGGCCCCGCCGGCTCCCGGGAGGCACCGGTGTCCCGGACCCCCGGGTCCGCCCGCCCACCCGCGCCCGCGCCGGCGGAGGAGGGGAGGGCAGGGCAGGGGAGGGCAGGGCAGGGCAGGGCAGGGCAGGGCAGGGCTCCGGGTCCCTCCGGGAGGGGTCCCGGCCGCGGCGGCGGCGGCGGCGGCGGCGGCGGCGGCGAAGGCGGCTCCCGCGTCCTCGCGCAACTCGGGGGCCCCCCGGCCAACTTTCCCCCGGCCCGCGGCGCCCGCCCGTCGCCTACCTCGGGGCCCACTCGCAGCCCGCGGGTCCCCGGCGGGGTCACATCGTCGCCCGGCTCCTGGCCCCCGCGCGCAGCCCCGGTCCCCGTGGGCCCCGCCGGCCGCCGGCCCCCCAGCAGCGCTCGCGGCCGCCGTGCGGGCGTCTCATCCACGCGGGGCGCGGGGCGCGGGGCGCGGGGCGCGGGGCGCGGGGCCGGGAGCTCCAGCCTGCGCCGCCGGCTCCGGCCGCACGTTATTTAGCTCCTCGGGCGGGCGGCGATTGGCCCAGCGGCGCCGCCCCCCGCCCCGCCCCGCCCCGCCCCGCCCCGCCCCGCCCCGCCGCCGACTCCCCTGCGGGGCGGACGCTTAAAGGGGACGGCGCGCCTTTCCGCCGCGCGGGCTCGGCCCCGGGCTCCCGCGCCCCCACCGCCCCCCGCCCCGGGACGCCGCGCCCGCCGCGGGGAGGGAGGGGAGGGAGGGGAGGGAGGGGAGGGCCCGGGGTCGTGCCCGCCTGCCGCGCGCCCCGGCCCTCCGCAGCCCCGCGGCCGGGTGGGCGGCGAGATGCCCCCCCGCGCCCCGCCCCGCCCCGCCCCGCCCCCGCCCCCCGCGCCCCCTCCCGCCCCGCGGACCGCAGACGCCGGCGGCCGCGCAGGGAGGCGGGGAGGCGGGGAGGCGGGGAGGCGGCCGGAGCCGCAGGTAGCGAGACCCACCTTGGCCGCCGCTGCTCGTCCACGCGGGCATCAAGGCGGCCGCCCGCGGAGGCTCCGGCCGCCAAGTCGCGGCCGCCGCGGCCCGTCTCCGGGTGTCCGGGTGTCCGGGTGTCCGGGTGTCCGCGCGCCCGCGGGCCGGGGGAAGTCGGGGCGCGGGGCCGGGGCGGGGGCGGGGGCGGGGGGCGGGAGGCGGCGAGAGGGCCGGGGCCTGGCGCGCCGTGCTCTGCTACCTCCGCGGCCTCGAAATCGCCAGGCGGGCGCTCCAAGTACGCGAGCGAGGAGCGAGCGCGGTCGGAGCGATCCGTCTTCATGAGGGGAGTTCGGCCGCAGGGCCTCGCGCCGCTCTGCGGGGCTTCCCGCGCCCTCCCCACGCGCAAACTTGCACGCGCGCGCGCCCCGCGCCTCTGCTGCCCCATCCCGGCGGCCACGCCGGCTGCAGAGCCTCGTCCCCGCGTGCCCTGCGCCCCCCCCCTGCGCCCCCCCCTGCGCCCCCCCTGCGCGCCCCCTGCGCCCTCCCCACCCCCTGCGCGGGGCAGCCCCGGGGTGCAGGCGGCCGCACCCGCACGCAGAACTTCGGGGGCGAGGCCCCCGGGGACGACCGCGGCCAACCCTCCACCTCGGCTCCTGCCCTGAAGCTCAGTCCTCCTCCCATTAGTTGAGCCGATGGGCGGCTGCTGGGAAGGACCTCAAAACCCAGACGGTGCCCCGGACCTCCCGCGGGCTCACGAAGGTCCTCTGCGGGCAGCTGAAGCGCTGGTTCCCCTCCTAAATGCGTGATTTTTAGGAGGGGTGGGGCCGGGTCTAGGAATGAGCATTGCAACCAGCACCTCGGGGATTCCAGATGCAGAAACCCGAGGTCACCCTCTGAGAAACCCTCAAGGGATGAATCACTGGGTGTCAGAGGAACCCCCCCCCCATTTGGTAGGCAGCGTTATGAGTATGTGCATTCTTCTCTAATCTCAAAGGGATCTGACCCACTAATTGCTAAGACTCCTTGCTGCAAGAATTTCCCTAAACACTCTCGCATTAATTTGGGGAAAGGGGAAGATTTATAAACAGTTTCCTTTCCGGGACCCTCTTGCGGTCATCAGGAATGAGGTGTTGAACTCAGTATGTAATAATATTATATCTAAGGGTTTGCAGTTGACAAAACGAGTTCACTTACATCAGCTGTTTTAGAGCGTCCAAAGACTAGTTAGTGACAGAGGCTGTTATTATTTTATAAGCGAAGAACCTGAGGCTCGGTGCCACGAAACAATTTGCCCAAATCCAAATCCGCACAGCTAAATAAATGGCAGAGACAAGGCTTGAATGAACTCGGGAACTCTGGCTGGAAATATCCCCGCCTCCCCGTCCCTCAAAACGAACAAAGCTCTCTGTCCCTTAGTGGAAGTGCTGTCAGAGGAGTCCGCAAATTGTTGGACTGAATAGTCAAATTGTTTTAAGAAGGAAAAAAAAAAAAAAAAGCATGTTCTTCGAGTGTCACACATTTAGCTTTGCACCTCTATCAACTTGACGGGAAACATGACCCGTACCAAGTACCCTGCATCCCAGATGATGAAGTTGAGTGCCAGGTGTGTCATGCGCGTGGAACTGGCAGGCTAGCCACAAGCATGAGGCTGGGCTGGGCCAACCCAGAGAACCCCTGTGTGGATTCCCTGGGGTGGAGGCTGAATGCAGACACAGTTTCTTTTAATTCTGCAAAACATTTTAAGAGACTAGATTCATAAGTTAAACACGCACGCGTACACACAAATCGTGTACCGCCTTCTAAAGTACTGCGGGAATCCTACCCGAAACTTTCAAAAATAACTTTACGCTAATTTCAGACCCATGCTTACTTTCCAACTCTAAATTTGCTTGAAAGTGAGCTACTTCCTCAGGTTTTTAAGCTCAATTGTAATTTACTTCCTGCGGGGGTTGGGGTGGGTGGGTGGGGGGGAGGAATACCTACCCAGTCAAAGTCAAGAATCTTAGCATTCCCGGTGCTGCTCACTGGGAAGTTATGGCGAAAATCCTCTACCTGCCGAATCCACGTTGCCACGTCAGCATTTTTGCTGAAGGAAAAAGTGTTCTCGTTTCCGAGACTCTGATCGTGGTCTATGGCCAATCTTCTTATTCCTACTCTCCCTTGACGTTATGCAAATAGATGTGTGTATCTCTACCTTCCAGTGTGTGGTGCAGTTTTACTGAGGAAAAGACAGAGGAGTCAGAAATGGCAGGAGTATTTCGAAATAAAAGAAGACCAATGCCAATTCAGATAAACCCTTTGATGAATCAGACCTCTTGACATTTCTGAGCATTTTGAGACGTTCTGATTTGTGATGCCACTGTTACCAAAACAATAAAAGACGAGACCTAAGATACTTGCTTATTTGCCTTAAAAGTACATCTTACATTCAAAAACAATGAAGCTAAGAGAAGCCAAGGTTGTACTAGTGTGTGGCATGGAATTCTGAATAATTCTTGTATTTGTTTAGTTCGGGTAGCATATGGAGACGGTTCCAGATCAAGCTTTTTACGAGATTATTTTCCTATTACGATCAAGGGTGATGCTGAGCCAACTTTCTGATTCTCTCTAAACATTAGTCTCTCAGGTGATTGATATGTTAGGAACAAAGTTTCCAAATTCATGATCTGAACATTTTCTTAATCACCCAAAGGAGGAAAGATTTGACTCCTTGAAAAGAAAATGCTCCCTATTTCCCTTTTGAGGGACTTAAAAATCAATTTTGAATTACCTAAAATCTTTGTTTTTGGTTTTGGGTCAGTTCTATTCTAACCCAATGTTCTAGAAGAACAAAGGTCAGGAAGAAATGCGAACTCCCATCTATTCTTATCAGGAAACATAAACTGATCCTCATTACCCAAGCAGGGACATAGGCAGTAGACTCAGATTTGACATTGACGTATTTTTTCTTTTTTTTTCTTTTTTTTGACGTATTTTTTCTATTAATAATTTTAATTGGCTGAGGTCAACTCTACTATCGTTGTAAGCATTTAATGTTTAACTATGTTTATTTAGGTTTCCTAGTTACTCCTGCCGTAAATCCTCCTTGCAAAACAATAAATAAATAAGTTGTCTAGAATCCAATGAATTGACCTCAAAAAACTGCTGAAAATCTTAGTAATTAGCACAGGGGAAATAATAAGTAAACAGAAAACTCTCCTGCTTAGCGGAGTGGCAAAGGTATTTTCAGTGTCATGATGCGTGACATCAAAGGCCCAATACAGCATTCAAGTATGTCCCCTCTAATCCTACAAATTATTGAGTAAGGTCTATTTTGAGAAAAATCTTGAAAGAGAAGTAATATTCCTGTTCATCAGGCGGTACCTTAATATGAGGTGTGTTTCTTCTCTGTAAACTTCTTACGAACCCTAAGTACAGCTCTATGCCATAATCAAATGTGCCCAAATTGGTCAACACCTGTTACAGTAATTATGCAACCAGGCATGGCCGTTAGTGGCAAACAAACAAAAGAAAGGAGCCACAGTATGAAAATGTTAGAAGGGCCAAAGTTAGGAGAATAGAACAAGGAGGTCAAAAACCAGTCCCATCTGGGAATAATATTTAGTTGGATGGAGAGAAACCGCGCCAAAACCATTATAAAACAACTGAGACTAGTCCCCAAACATATGAGAGTCATCAACTTGTAACCCTGTGAGTTACCAGGTTTTCCCTGAGAACATTTAAAAATTAATAGTAAAGAATAAATTGGTTTACCCATTGTAATGTTTCTTTAAGCGTGGTCAAAAGGGCCGTGACTGTAGACAGAGCAAAAGTTAGAACTGACAGTGATAGCTGCCTATGGTTCGTTGCTGGTTTTATTGGGAGAAGAGCTGTAAGAACTCGCAAGTTTAAACCAAAGGGTTTCAGGTCGTTTCAGGATCAAACCGAAAGGAACAGATTACATTATTTTTGAGACTTAACTACATAGGCTGTTTGATGGTGATGGTGAGAGATTATCTACCGTTAAATTTTATATTCTTCATGGATAAAGTTAGAAACGTGCGAAAAAGAGAATTTAGAAAAAAAGGTAATCATTGAACTTCCTAAAGTCATATTAAAAATAAAATCACACTAGGAATTTGGCCTATTTTTATGTGACTCTGAAACTATCTCGAATGGTCTCTTTGACCAAGGACCTGCGTGGGACATGCAGCTGGCTGCTGGTCCAAGTCCTCCAGATAGCACAGGGATGGTAGGAATAAAATCTTCAATGCTACACGTGTGGCGGCAAGGGTTGAGATTTAGATTTGTCTGGCACACAGAATCATCTGAAACTCTTGACTTTCTCAACTTCAGTTAATCTTCAGTTTACCGTCCTCATGTCATGGTTACCCTCATTCAACTGATGAAAACTTGCTGAATATCTACTGCCACACATTGCTCTACGGACTATGTTTTGTTTTAAGATTTTATTTTTTAATGTAATCTCTGCATCCAATGTAGGGCTCGAACTCACAACCCTGAAATCAAGAGTCACACACTCCACCGACTGAGCCAACCGCGTGCCCCAACTCTACGGAGTATGTTATAGGCAGATGAATAAAACATATTTCAGCTCTTTCGGCACTGAAATTCTTGAGCATAAGATTTGTCTTTTGATCCGCTAGGTCACTTGTGAATGAGTGAAAGGTGGAAAATTATGTCGGGTTTTGTCTTCCCTCGTCATAGGATGGGTGTGTGGGAAGACCGACCTTCCAGCATGCTGGCAGTGGCCAGGGGATAGTAGTGATGGACAAGAAACCTGTTCCCAAAGCTGGAAGGGCACCTAGCAGCCGGGGAGGGCCCATCATGATCGATCAGAGCCCTAGTTACCCTTGGTTAACGGCATTTTACAGAAGGTAGACAAATGATAAGGGATAACCGATGTGAGTAGTGACAGGAGGGAAGTGAGGCATTGTCCAGGCAGATCATTTTTCTGAGTGATTAGGTAGATTTATAAAAAGATGGATCCAGAAGAGATCATAAGAGATTATCTCGTCTTCCTCACCACTCCTAGGCCTGTCATTGCAGACCAGTAAAGAAGATTCCACGTCCTTCTTCTGAAGACCTTCCTAAGGATCTAGCAATTCTAGTGCTTGGAAG